TCCTTTTGGTTCCTCAAAGTTCCTCAGAACTCCATAGCTTTGGCTTGGAGTATCCAATTAAAAATAACAACAAGCAGTGGCACTCAGCCCGCACCCGTTCGAATGCTGGTCATTCACAAAATCTCTTTATTTGTTCATTAAAGACCTCATGTTGGAATTTTGTGGCTTTTATTTCATCTCTGTGAGCTTGGAGATCACATTTATGGTAGGACTTTATAAAGTTGACCGAATGAACATTGAGTCCTGGCTCGCCTCCCCTCTCTCCCATTTAGTTTCCTGTCCACTCTATACTGTACTATTCAAATAAAGGAGAAAAATAAAATTACAAAAATACCTATTAAAAACAAAACATGCCCTCACATGCTTGAGTGATAATGAGAAGTTTAAAACTTACAGGCTTTCTCTGAAATTATTTCTGGGATTTTTCTTTATATTCAGTGTATCCTGCATACATCTGGGTAATTTCATGCATTCTTGGTACTTGCAATATTGAGTACTGAAAATGAACTTCAGCAGTTGATGATGATGATGTAGATCGGATAAGAACACATATTGAGAAAATGGCTATTGTCAGCTAACTCTATTCTGCAGTTAATCATTTGCGCGTTCTTTCTGGAAAATGGACCAAAAATATATCTATAAATATTTTGCCCAATCAAACATTCGTTTTCCGCTGACTCCACTTAATCCATCTTTTCTATCGCCAACATTTGCGTACGATTGTCGCATTTCTAGTGGCAGTCACATGGAACTTTCTAATTATTTGCAAAGCAGCCATTACCTGTTACTACTAGGGGTGCTCCGATCAGGATTTTTGAGGCCGATCACCAATCGCCAATCACAGAAAGCAGTACCTGCCGATACCGATCACCGATACCGATCTTTTTAAAGTCTTCTTTTTATCATTTATAACTATTTATAGTGATACTCCAATCAGGATTTTTAGACATTTATTCAGGGCCTGAATTTCATTTTTGAAAATGGGGGGAATTCCCCTCTTAGGTGACTCTTGTGAGAGGGGAAGCAGCTTTCACATAGGAGTCCGCTACTGATCCGTGGCTGTTTACCACAAACACAACATTTATCCATTATTTTGATTTAAAATCCAAACATTGTCACTGAAAATGCTTTTTCAGCATTGCAGTTCTTTTTTTACACAGTACAGTAATACAATCTTTCACAGACATGTTTAAATACAATAAATATAAGCAACACATTATTCAATGCTTTTTACTTTTGCATTTACTTAGATTTATATATTAAGTTGCTCAAGCAAGTGGCAAAACATTAAAACGACTTTTCTTACGTTATCACAAACTTACCATTGACAGAAATTGTCAGCTCTACTGCCTTTCCTTTTGCATTGCAATATTTATTATAAGCAATCCTGCAGTTAATAAAGAACTTTGTTTTCCTACCTCCACGAGTGCCATCTATTAATGCCTTGTTTAGTGCTCTTTCCCTTTAAACCTAGCCAAAAAGCCATGTGTGTTGACTGTGAAACACAGTAGACTTTAATAATATGCATTTATGGTGTAATTACTACATATTCGTGTCAATCCATGTTCAAATTTACTGCAAACAATGCGCTGTCACTTTAATTCAGCAGCAAAAATAGACTCGGTGCAGAAAAGATCTCTGCACTGCTGCAGATGCACCGCTCCTGGAACGCATTGCCGGACAATACAACCGTGTGCAGTGTGAACACTTTAATCCGTTAACATGAGCGCGGAAAAAATATGCAAACGGAGTAATGTGAACCTGGTGTTATGTGTGTGAGCTGCGAATGTGCATGAGCGTACGGTCTCCAGAAGAGCGCGCGAGCGCTGAATGGTTAAACACTGGCAAAAATGAAAAAGTAATGCAATTTATAAACTTTAGTGACGATGTGACACTGCCTCGATTGTGCAAGTGACAATTCCTGTGTTAACTGTGCAGCTCACTTATAGACAGACGCGATGTGGTGATTTGAAGCCAATTTGCGTATTTTGAGAGAGAAAGAGAGAGCGCGCGCGGTGATTCACTCACGCTGTTTGTAAAATTACGTCTCAGACAAGGTTTTCAAATTACTTTATGAGTTATTTGATGAAGAAATATGAAGGCGAGTACCTCACCTTCAGCATTATAATTAGTTCACCCGTGCCGGACAGAGACTGAGACGGTGCCGCTGCATGTCGTGCCAGACCTCTCACAGCAAACCTCATCAGCTTGAGATCAATCATCCCAACGTGATTATCGGCCGATAGTGATTGGTAGCCGATCAATCGGAGCACCCCTAGTTACCACTATGGTAAAATGAATGAATAGTGAATGAATGTATGAATATATCCACACAAAGCCAATGACCTCCAAAGAAAAGCACAGAAGGTTTACTAGGGCTAATCAATGTAATAATTACACAATTCCTGACATAATGATCCCATAACTATGGTATACCATATGGTATATGGTATAAAAATGGTATACCCATTTACAGAAATTATGTTTAAAGATTAACATTTTAGTGCACTTTTTTTTTTGCAATTCTCACCTCATGCTCATTTTGATTAGAATATATATCAAATACAATATCGGGTTAGGTGTTCACATACACATCTAGCCGCAAAAGTTCAGATATTTCAGTGGACCACAAGCACAAATGTGACTCTTTTTTTTTTCAAATATATTTTTTCTTTTTTGCTGAATTGTTTTTTTGTTAAATACTGTATGTGACATTTTGGAAGAAAACTGGTTGCAATTCACACTGATTTGTAACCCAAAAAGCCATCCGAAAGAGTTGATCTAGGCTTATCAGATCTGACACCACACAAACAAACGCCTATAGTGCTGGGTCTGTGCTTACTGTGTTTCACGGCCCGGGACTGTTGTTCACTCAGCACGCTGACATCCGCAAACACGAGTGAAATTTGACTCCGTGTGATTCTCAGATTCCATTGATGCAGTTCTCTCCATCTCTATCTCTCTCATCATCAACATTAGCTCTATCGGCAGCCAGAGTACATTAGAGCATGTGTGATTGAGTGCGAGACAGACGTCTTCTCTCCACCCCTGGCACTGGCTCTTCCTCCTCTCTCCTGCTCTCTATTCTCTCGCCATCATCTTTCTGTCACTACACACACTCTGTTTCTCTCCGCATGCATGGACCGAATTCAAAGGTGATTTGTATTCACAGTCTCAAGTGCTGATCTACAGTTGGAGCAGCTTTTTGGTGAAGCTCGTTATGAACTGATAGTTCAGTCATTCATTCCAATAGGATGAACCTCATCTGAAGTTGCTTTTATAGAGCAAATAGCAGTAACACTTGTGACTGCACATCATTTGATTTTTACATGACTAAAACTACATTAAAATTCTCCAAACAGCTGACACGCTTTATGCGTGTCATAAAGACATTTCATTGATCGCTTGCACTGAATAGTCTGAATGAAATCTCACTGGTTCAAAATTACTGTATATTACATATCAGATGTGTTCTGATTGGCTGTGATTTTTCGTGAGGACTGAACGATTACTTAAACTGGAAACTTGTCATGTCATATCTGGTTGGGAATCAGTCACCGTGTTTAAAACATCTATTCTCTTACCAGCCCATATTAACCACTTGGTAACTAACTAAAACCTAATATAATAAAACTAGACAGGACTGAGAACTGAATAAAAATGTTTCTCTCCCAAATTAGTGATTATTTATTATTCAAGATTCAAGTATTCTGCTAAAATGTGTGCAAAAAATAGTAAAAAAAATAAATAAAATATTGTGGATATGAAAACCCTTTTATATGATAATATGTACACTTACACTACCAACCAAAGGTTTGGAATAATAATTAAACCGAGGCTGCATTTATTTGATAAAAAATACAGTAAAAATATTAATATTGTGAAATATTATTACAATTTAAAATAACTGTTTTTTAATATAAATATTTTGAAATGCATTCGGTTTCATATGATCATTAAGAAATCATTCTAATATGCTGATTTGTGCTGTTGTTGTCATTTAATATTTTTGTGGAAATTGTTCAAAAATTTGGGGAGAGAGAGAGAGAAATACTGTTCATTGCTGAACTTTCTATTCAAAGAAAAAAAATCACAAAAAATGCTAAGCAGCAAAAAATGTTTTCTGCATTGCTAATAATAACAACCGTTATTAATAATTGAGCCAATAATAATTGAATACCAAACATATTCGAATGATTTCTGAAAGATCATGTGGTACTCAAAACTATTAAAATATTAAAATGGAAAACGGTTATTTAAAATTATAATAATATTTCACAATATTAATGTATTTTTTTTCAAATAAATGTAGACTTGGTGAGCAGAAGAGACTTTCAAAAACTCTTATATGTGTATATATCCGTTTTTTCCCTCTCTTTTTCCCCTTTTATCTTTAAACACATTTGACTGCAATTTTAAAACCTTTGCAAACTGCGCTCTCTCTCTCTCTCTCAAGGGCTCTCTCTCTCGTGCGCTCTCTCTCGCTCTCTCTCTCGCTCTCTCTCTCTCTCTCTCTCTCAAGGGCTCTCTCTCTCGCTCGCTCGCGCACACACACACACACACACACACGATGCGCATAACTCTGCATTTGAACAGTCAATAGCAAATACTTAAACTAATAACAAAACAGTAGCTGATTCAGATGTTACATGATCTTCAGAAATCAGTGTAATATGCTGATTTACTGCTTAAGAAACATTTCTTATTATCAATTTTAAGAAGTTTATTATTGCATTTGTTAGCAGTCTTTGATAAAGAGATGTTCAAGAGGACAGCATTTATTCGACTTTTCTTTGTGCACTTGGCTAAAAAGAAAAAAAAAATCTTACTGACCCCAAGCTTTTTAATGGTAGTGTATATAATGAAAGGCTTTCATATGATTAAAAACCTTTTGCAAGAGGTTTAAAAAAACATATACTTTCAGCCATACTTTTTCAGTCAGAAGAAACAGAATGATTTAATGCACTTTTAAAGTATCTTTGTATGTGTGTGACTCTGACCTGCACTGGAGTTCAGCTCCTCATTCTCTGACTCAGTACCGTTCTGGCTTCCTGCTCCGTGAATGTTGTTCATGGCCATCAGTTTCATTTTCTGGAGTTTCATAGCTTCAGCCATGGCTGCTGCTGTCAGACCTGTGGAGCACACACACACACATACACACACAGAGAGAGAGAGAGAGAGAGAGAGAGAGAGAGAGAGAGAGAGAGGTAAGTGTACCTGGTAACATACTTGGCCCCTTTTACACCTGCTATAACATCCGTCTCAGGGGACCTGATGTCAAGTAAACAGCCGTCAGAAATCACCTGGTATTAACATGAGGCTCATGTGATCAGATTTTGTCAAAGGGAAGCTCACTTTCAACCTCAGTGTGTTGATAAAGCACAAACAGTCACCGATATTGAAAATCTATAGTTTTGCACATCCCTAATCAGTACTGGACGTGACTGTCACCCACCGGCAGAATGTGGCCCTCTGGAAGAGGAGGGAGGGATCTATTCCCAGAAGGCCTTCTGCTCGTGGTCTTGTGCTAGTGTGTGTGTGTGTGTGTCCCACGAGGATTTTCCAGTGTTACTCACTGTCTCACACACACTTCCCGAACTCAACCCTCCTCTCATCAAGGGCTCCTCAGCCCTGGAAGCCATCATCACTCAGCCCAATTAGGCCCCTAATTAATTCAATTAAACAACGAAGGGACACATTAAGTAATTAATTAAGTGACGATGCCTTCTCGCACTCCGCTCTCGAAATTTCCCCACAAATCAGGTTGGGAGGAAGTGATGGCCCACGTCCTGTGTCTTTTTTCCCCAGGTTCAGACAATGGATGTCACCTTGATCTAATTCATTAAAAATGTAGCCTCCAACGGAATTCGTGAACTAGCGCAGAAAAGAAGGCCGAAGAAAATTCCTTTATCCTCACTTTCACACGCTCTGCGTGGATTTGGAAGCACAGGGCACTTCTGCTCCCAGAGGGCCGTGCGATCCCCCGTCAAGAGCTTACGGCTGAAAATGAACAACGACACGACTGCTTTTGCTTTCTGTGACAGACGGCAAGCCAAATAAACTAGCAAATTAGTCATACTTAGAAAAATACAAGTTGTGGATATGCTGGACTGGAGTGGAGGAAGAGATAAATGAAAAAAAAGACAAGCATCTTTGAGTATTTTTTTCAGAGCCAGCCCCATCTACAGTAAAATCAGGCAAAAGTGGCAAAAAAAACTAAAAGTCAGCAATTATTACTCAATACCAAGTAACTGATAACAATGATAAATTATATATATATATATATACTTTATAAAAATGAAACTTAAAAATGTATATATTATATATACATATTTATATTATATGTGCGTGTGCGTGTGTGTGTTTTGCAAAAAAACACAAAATAAGTTAAAAAAAATTTTTTTAAAAAGCTAACAGGATATTATTATAAGCAATATTATTTAGAGCAATTATTAGCTTTATTAAAGTAATTATTAGCATTATTACTCACTGATTATTATAACATTCGTATTTTAATATTATTACTGTTATTATTATTAATTATTAAATGAATCCAATAATACACAAAAAAATGTATTCATTTGCAAAACCAATAACTCAAATTTTTTTTATTGCGCATTCCAAGTAATATCAATCAAACTGCAGTTGGGTTGTTTTGATTAAGTAATAATAACTTAAACAAATACAGGTAATTTACCAAATTAAAGTTCATTGAAAGTAGTATGTTTTTTTTTACATATTAAAAGTTTGTTTTATAGTAAAAGCAGATAACTCCACATTTCATGTTTTAGAGTTAAAAAAAACACTTGTTTAATCTTTATAATCTCCTCAGATGACAATGTAGATGCCTGACAAACGTTGTTGGTGTTGTAATCATGAACTGTATGGATGTGATTATAAACTGAGCTTTTCCCTCACCATTGTAACGCGCTGCTTTTGCAAGGTTCCGTGAAAACTTTTCAGCTTTTATTTTCCTTTTTCGCCCTGAAGAAGATATCACAGGTTCATCAAGTCTGTCGAAATTATCCATCCTCGATCACTTTTAGTCAGCTGAAACTCCTCTCAGCTAGCATGTCTTTTCATAGTGAAAGTAGCCTTGTCACCTGAATACAGCGAGCTGATTCGCTAAAATGGATTTATCGGCTTCTGTTCAAAAACAATGGTGCTTGTCGGCTTCTGCAGTAATAGGTGAACTCGCGATGCCTTGAAAGTGGACAAAACCGGCTTTTTTGACAAAACGTGTTTAGGGTTCAGATCGCGCTATATGTGGAGAATAATGCACGGCAATCTTTTTTTTCTTAAAGTGTCGTTTATCGGTTTTTGCAAATTAACTCTTCATATGTATATAGCCTATAAATATATATATATATATATATATATATACAGGTGCATCTCAATAAATTAGAATGTTGTGGAAAAGTTCATTTATTTCAGTAATTCAACTCAAATTGTGAAACTCGTGTATTAATACAACACAGCAATAATATACACACTGGCCTGAAGAAAATGGGTGTTCATTCAAAGAAGGTTTTCCTATGAATTAATTAGTAGAAAAGTCCATTTCTCCTGTGCATTTGTGTCCCTTTGTTTCTGGAGAAAGCAGAATGAGAGCCGGCTCGCATTCCACAAGGTTGTAAATGTATCGGGTTACCATGAAACCAGGGTCTTGTTCGGCGTCCTGGGGTGTTACAAAGTATTTGTGAAATCTAGCTAACAAAATATATATTGTGTGTTGGAGTGTTCCAGACGCTACAATACACACACAAAAGGGAATATATATATGAATGAAATTCACATAATTATATCATTAAAAATTATATTATTATCGGCAACTGAAAGTATGAGAAAATTAAACAATGAATGTTCTAAATATCTTTAAAAATGGTACTACATGTAATGACTACAGCGATAAAGCGAACACTGCTTTTATCGGTTAGTGGTAAGATTTTGTGGAAGGGTCCTTCTGAGCTTTGTTTCTAGAAAATGTAGGAGCGTGGAAGTGGTGGAGAAGCATCAGATCATTTCCTGTGAGGTCCAAATAAACTGTGCAAACTAAACATGATCGTTTATACAGAATACAAAGCATAGAAAAATAAAGGAAAAAAAGCTCTCACAATTGGTGCATTGTCTCAGCACACACACACTATAAGCCCCCTCCCGCCTCCCGATACTATGTCAAGGAGAAGCCCCGAGATCAAACGGCGTACGTAACAGTAATTGATGTTTGAGGAAAGTCGCGACCCGCGGAAATGGGAGCCGGCGGATGAAAGGCGAGTGCCGTTTTGCAGGGGTGGACAAACAGATTGCTTATTGTTTGCCTTTCATATGGCCCTTCAGATCTACAAGTCTCTCTGCCTCAGACTCCCGCTTTGAACACTCAAGGTATCACCCCCCCCTGCTGCATGAATGGAGGGCGCTCGGGCACGTCCTGAGGAGGGGAGAACACATCTATCCTCCTTTCCTCGCCCCATACTCTCTCGTTCTCAAGATCTGACAGGTCCATCTCGTTCGCTAATGGTTCACCTGCTTTGGAAGAGAGGAGGTGAGCTGACGGGCCGGACAGACGGGGGCTTCTGTAGACTTGAGGGGGGTCAGGTATGGGCCAGTCTGGATTCCTCTGCTATGACGTGCCTGAATTGGCCCTTTTTCATACCTAGACAACAATGTCCCATTTAATTAAAGAGTGGTATGAGAAAAGGTAGATTCCGAAGCGAAGGAAAAATTGATCCAGAGGAGTTTCTTTTGATCTCAGAGTCAGTGAGCGTTACATCAATGGATTCTTTTCAGCGTTGAGAGGCTCTCTGTTTCACTGCATTTAACTTTGTCTGTCTTTACCGCGGTAATGAAACGTGGAGGCACTCGCACCTGAGATTGCGGCCTTGAATTCTGTTACAGGTCAGCAAATACTGGACGTGACCATGTCCCTTGCTTTTGGTTCATTCAAAGGCTAAAATGGATTTAGTTAGTGTGTTTGCAGATTCTAATAATAATAATAATTATTCATTTAAAAAAATTATAATTTAATTATTGCTGTAATTATAAACTCAAACATACTTAATGCATGTTTTCATTGCAATGATTAGTTATTACTGAATAATAAAATAATAAAAAAGTGAATAGTCAGTTTTACATATCTGGTATCAGAAAATAAATATATATAGGATCAGTTTTTTTATTATTTTTTTTTATATTGGTCGATTCTCCAGCTGAATCAATTTTTTAATCTGCTTTTAAAGGTGTTGTGTACATCTCAGACTCCCAGCATCTGTTGAGTTTCAATGGAGAGAGTCGCCAGGCTTCCCAACAAATATTTATTCCAGTACTTACGTCCTCAACCAAACATGCTCTCATCCCAATTCCACTTACAAAGATCCTCACATGCGAAAGGCTTCTGTGATTGTAACCCCACGAATATACAAAAGGGAATAGAGAAATAAAGCAGGAAGAGAGAGAAATAGAGACCAAACAACACGCACAACACAGATTGCCTGTGAGAACAAGCCCAGAGTGAGATCATGTTTTCCACAAAGAGGGTCAGTCAAGCACTCCCTCCGTTTCATGCAACCGGATGCATTATTGCATTTTGCATTTCTCCTTTTCAGATGAAACGAGGGTAAAAAAAAGAGAAAGGAACAGTGCCTTTTCTTCGCTTTGACAGAGCGTCTCGGGAAAAAGTATCAGATTTGTGCACAAGACGGGGGAAAAAAACAGGCAGAGCATCTCCTTTGATTCACTGAAGAGTAAATATTACTGTCCGATTCCACGTCGAACAGTAAACCGAGAAAGGACAAAAAGGTAGAAGAAAGGAGGGCAGAGGGAGATGGGGCCGGTATACTGTATTTAATTCACCTTTGGAATTTCCGAACGGCGGAACAAGGGATGAGATGAATGCCTGACAAAGGCATATGGCCGGCGGGCGAAACCAGACCCTGGAGCTTTTCAGCGCGCGACGGTGAGAAAGAGAGAGAGAAATGGGGCGCGATGGAAGTTGTAAATAAAAGCACAAATGAATGCTGAGATTTCCGCCTCATGACCCCACTGTTTGTGTGAAACCCACTGGAGGACTGATACAACTAAATCTAGGTTGTGTTAGTTTCCACCAACAAGAGATTCCTCCCAAAATGGGGCTGTT